TACATCGAATGCATGACAACCGTGGAAAAATGTGTTATTTGTTCCCCAACCCTTCTTTTTATATTAATTAATGTTTAGTGGTCAATTAATTATCCCGCTTAGTGTTTTTCGTTCCTGGACTTTAGATGCGATCATACAAACTCAGATGCATCGGGCTTTCCTTTTAACCCTTTGTTTTCTGGTGATTTTGTTCTTTGAGTCGAGTATCACCCTCTTGTTAACTCAAATTTCTCGTCTCTGATTTGGGATTTAAGCTTTCTTCCTCTCTAATTGTTGTTTCTGGCCGCAAGTCACCGTCGAGCGGCCATTGCTTTTCTACTCATCGAGTGTTTCCTCTACGGATCTTATTTGAGGACATGCTTTAGCACTATTGGGTAGGATTATGGGAGCGCTCCGCTCATGGTGTTGGTGGCTTGCTCACCCCTGCTTCATGTGTTGGATAATTTCCTTCATGTGGCTTTAGTTGACGGGAAGCATAAACAACTCCTCTGCCAGATTGCATTAAAACATGTCCTTGTAATGATGCATCAGTGTAAGCTATGTAACCGGCATCTCTTTCAGAAATGATTTAACACTAGCGCAGTCGTTAATTGAATTTTTAATTCTTGGAATGATTCTTCACATTCACCAATCCAAATAAATTTAACTCCCTTGTGTGTTAACCTGGTCATGGGAATCCTTAACAAATCTTCTATAATAGCCGGCCAAACATAGGAAGCTTTGTATGCCATGTACATTTTTCTGCTCAATCCAATTCAAGACTGCTTCTACTTTTGAAGGATCCACTACAATGCCTTTGTTTGAGATGACATGTCTTGAGAATTTCACTTCAGTCAACCAAAATTCACATTTGCTTAACTTAGCATATAACTTATTCTCCTTCAAAGTCTGTAAGATAGATAAACGTTCCTCATGTTCTTTCTCGGTCCTTAGCATAGATGAGAATGTTATCAATAAATTCAATAACAAACTAATCAAGGTAAGGTTGAAAAATTTGATTCATTAAATCCAAGAATGCTGCTGGTGCATTCGTTAAACCAAAAGGCATAACCAAAATTCGTAATGCCTATCGAGTTTGGAAAGCTGTCTTTGGTATATCTTCTAGTTTAATTCGAAGTTGATCATAACCAAAACAAAAACGAAGATCAATCTTTGAGAAATATCGAGCAACTTTCAGTTGAACAAATAAATCATCATTCTAGTCAATGGATACTTGTTCTTTATGGTGATTCTATTCAGCAAACGGCAATCAATACACAACCTAAGGGTTTGATCACTTTTCTTTACAAACGGTGTAGGAGCACCCCAAGGTGATGTACTAGGCCGAATAAAACCCTTCTCTTCAAGTTCTTGAAGTTGCTTTTTCAGTTCTTTCAATTCCACTGGTGCCATAATATGAAGGTATGGATATGGGTGATGCACTGGATATGTCTTATACCCTCCAACATCATTTGAGCGATTGGTCTCACATAATCAACTTTTGTCTTATCCAAAACTGAATCAGGTTTTGGAACACTCTTATTCCCATAAATTTCTTAACACAAATCAGTAATACCTTCAAATCGTTTGAGCAAATCCATTCCAAATATTACATCATAATCCAGCAAGTCCAACAACACGAAATCACATTCAAGCTTATGATGCAATATATCTATTGTGCATGACTTGCACACAATCCACCAAAGCAGATTCAATCAATAATGGAAATTTCATAAATTTAGACTCTAATCCCAAAGTGGATGCAAAGGATGCAGAATAAATGATCTTCTAGCACCAGGGTCTCTACTTTTTCCTTAATCTCAGCTATTTACACCAAAAATGCCAGCCGTACTACCTACCTAACATACAATCACTTGTTAAAACATCAGTCGTCTTAAACGGACTTAACAGCTCTAAATGGTCCTCATCTCTCTCCGAGTCCGAACTAATATAGATGACGGAAGGTGGACTGACGACAAATTCCAGCAAAATGCCGTCGAGTTTGAAGTCGGCTGGTGTTGGTAATGCATCCACTCTCCATCTCTCTTGTTTCTGGGATGTTTGGATGAGGTTTTTGAACTATGTGTTGAAGTTCTAACCCCTGCATGCACCCTCATCTCTATTTCCAGTTTCCGGCCAGAGACGGAGGACAAACTCCAGCGAGTTTGAGCCACGACTCACCCCTAATTCTTAACACGTTAACAGAAAAGGGAATTCGCATTGTGGATTGTGTGCAGCAAGAGATTCAAATTTCCAATTCAGAGCATTACAAAAAGATGGATGATATAACAAGACAAAGAAGTCCCAATTTCTACTAGAAGCTCTAGAAGTCCCAATTTCTGCTCCTAGATGTATGCCGCACCTTCCCCTTCTAGAAGTCCCAATTTCTGCCACAAAACACATTGTTTCTAAAATCCCTAGAAAGGTGGCGCCTCTCCCTCTTCCAGAAGCTCTAGAACCTGCAATCCTTTTCCCATTCCTCCTTGGTCTTTGCCGTGTAACCCTAGTCATTTTCCCCTAGGATTGTGCAATCCTTTTCCCTTCAGAAATTGTGAAAACCCTAGCCTATAAATACATGTCTTTGCCGCATATATTGATCCATCCATTCATTCATTCAATCATTCATACATTCAGCCATAAAACACCCTAATTCACCTTAGTGCCGCAACAAAGAAGGAAGGAGAAGAAGACTTGTGCAATATGCCATCCAAGGGAGTGCTGTGCATGCCATTGGAGTGTGGAGCATTTCTGGGTTCTTTCTATCCTTAGTTTTAGTTCAATGTTTGTTTTAATTTGGTTTTCAATTATGATGAACATGAGGAATTAATTTCTTTATAGTTGGAGGTGAATTCGAAGCTATGATTATATGTTTTATATGAATTGATTACATCCAGTTATTATTTCTTGAGTCTTGAATGTGATTTGCTTATCTGAGTTATCAAAACTTGTTTATGTATGTTGGTTGAGGGTCAACACTTAATTTGCATGCATGAATTTGATGCTAGAGTATAAGGGAGTTTCACGTAATACTTATGAACTTATATTCACAAGTAGTGGAAGTCACTAGTCATGATTGTGTTAAGAGAATCCTTGGCAGGAGTCTCATGCGTTTCATAGTGATGAATGCCTTGTCAATGCTTATGATTTTCATAAAACTTAATGTTTGATATGTATCTCTATTATGCGTTTCATATAGAGAACTTGAGAAAGATAATTTGATTGTAATGTGTATTCATTCAATTCAATGAAATAAGGGAAATATGATGGTTGGTTGTGCGATGCAATTAACTTGGGGCGTTGTCGTTCATAGTCTAAAGGAATAATAACTGGAAATTGGTTTATATGCATATGTCGTGTGTGGAGAAGGACCCTCTAACTAGCCTTTCACCCTTATCAATTCACCAAATTCGTTTTTATAAAGTGTTTTATGCAAAGTTTTTGTTTTAAGTTTTAAATTCGTCAAAAACATTCCCCCTTTCATTAAGTCTTGTTATTTGAGTTAAATTCTGTTTTCTTTTAGTCTTTTGAGTCAAGTTAAGTTTTATTTTCGTCAAAATCACTTGTTAGGTCTAGAATTGAGTCTTTTTGATTGTTTGTTGCTGTCTTGAGTGTTTTAAGTTGGTTTTGAGTCTATAGAGTCTAGTTTAGTGTTTTTGAGTCTTATTTGTGTTGTTAGCATCCCTAGTTAATCCCCGGTCTAGAATGATCCCTACTTGCATATATACTACAATTGTCAACAATAGGGTTTAATTTGTGTGTCAAGTTAATTTTCACATCAAAACGCTTTAAAAAGTGAACGAAAATAGTTAATAAATTCATAAACCTTTTGTTGTGCTCATACACTTTCGCAATTTAGTTTTTAATCTGGATCCTAATAACTGACCCATAAGGACAACTACTTCTAGCACTAGTGTATAGGGCATTTCTAAGGTGTGGACGTTAGAAATACAACTTGTGTGCATACTGCAATCAAACGATGGTGATTTGCTGAGCTTATGGGTAAAACCAAGTTGTTGTGACCCAATGTAATTAAAATGTTTATTTATTTTTTATTCAATGCATATGCATTTGTTAGAGAGAAAGTTTGCACGTTGAAGAGGGGAAGAAAGAGAGGCGGAGACATGGAGCTGGGGTGAGGATCGATTTTAGTTGGGCTGAAGCTGCACTGCGACTGCAACCTAGTAATCTTATACCTTCAAATTTTTTTTCGTTCACTAGGGGTGTTTTTGTCAGTGAGAAAGGGGGAAAGTAATCTTATGCCTTTAATTGTTTTCGTTCATTAGGGTGTTTGGTTGGCGAGAGAGGGGGAGATTAGGGTTGTCTTTGGTGGGAAAGAGAGGCAATGAGAGGGAGTTGGAGAAGGTTGAGATCATTCGATTCCAGGTCAATTGATTGGGACCTGGTAAATCCTATACCTTTAATTAATTAATTAATTTATTTTTTATTTGTTCATTGGGTGTGTTTTTATTGGAAAGAGGGATATGTGAGGGTTGTAGTCGGGGCAAAAAAACGCTCGTATGGACAAGGGCTACCACTTTCGTAAAGGACAGAAGTCCAAACCTTATACCCATAATGCAGAATCTGTAGCGGCTAATACTAACCATCGAATTATCATTTACGCTTTGATTGGGCATCGCCGTAAGGGTTTTTCGGTAATTCTATTTTCAAAGTATCATCTTTTAGTGGAATCCAAAAGGAGAACGGTTTGAATCGTTGACATCACATTCAGAATGTTGTAGTTTGTTGAAATATTGCTCGATGTTTACTAAGTTTTAGAAACGTTGATTCTAGCCCCAACATAGTGAATGGGTTTAAAGCTTTAACGACCCATGGGTTGCACATGTCCTAAAGTAGGAAAAAAGACCCAAAATAAAATGCGAGACAATAGGAGTCAGCGGTCTAGGAGGCGATAAGACCGTCACCAGAAAGCCCTAATCTCTCTCTCTCACTCTCCGTTTTTCTTAATTATAATTTCTTATTTATTAATTAAATATTATTATGGGAAGTGCAAAAACAAACGGGGTACTACTACTAAGGGTGGCTTTTGGGGCGTATTTTCAAATTAGAAAGAAAAAGCTCTAAATTTGTGTCAGATTCCCTCCTTTAACTCGCTTTCCTAAAAGGTACAATGAAACCGTAATTAAAGTCTCCTCTCTTCTTCTGTCTATATATGTGTATACATGCATGTCTTTGTTGGGTTTGTTCATGGTTTGGTGGTTTGTTTGTGTTGCTATTTGGGTGCACAGTAGATGGATAGGTTTCAGAGGGTGGAGAAGCCCAAGGCGGAGGCTGCGCCGATAAACGAGAATGAGATTCGTATAACAGCTCAAGGTAGAATGAGGAATTATATTACTTATGCCACCACTCTCTTCCAGGTCCTTCCTCCTCCTCCTTTTTTCTCCATTTCATTTTTTTCTAATTGTGCATTAATTTCTCTGAGGCTTTACCTTGAAATGATTGTATCTTATGTAGGAGAAAGGATTTAATGAAATTATTCTCAAGGCAATGGGCAGAGCTATCAATAAAACTGTTATGATTGCTGAGCTAATAAAGGTGAGCGACTTGTGACCTCTACGTATGGCATATGCATGTGCTTCGTGTGTCTATGAGTGTTTACGTATAAACTTATTTTCTGATAAAGCTTTTCTGTTTCCAGAGAAGGATTGTTGGTCTTCATCAGAATACTTCTATTGGATCAACTGATATTACTGACGTGTACGAGCCCCTGGAAGAAGGCCTGCTTCCGTATGAAACCATATTCTTCTATGCTACACTATGAATATGCACATGTGATTTTTTTCTTGTTTCACTTCATAGTGGCATAATTTGCTTTGTTTTTGTTGCAGTGTAGAGAGTACTCGGCATGTTTCAATGATCACTATTAGCTTGTCGAAGAAGGAGCTTGATACATCCTCTACAGGGTAAATCATTTAGAACTTGGTTTCTGTTTGGATGCTGTAGTGACATTCTATCTCTGGTGTATCATGATCGTTTTATTTTTTATTACTATGGTTTTCTGAACTGGTATACAAAATGAATAGATGAACTATGCTACCTCGGTCAGGATTCTATAAGTTGTGAATAGCAGTATAAATTTGGTACTTTTTTGGCATTTAAACCGTACATAGTTGCTGGTTCCTAGAATGCCCATTATATTAGGGAAATTAGCTATTCTAGAAATATTACAAATCTGTTATGCTTAATTAGAAAGATTGATACTGATATAAACATGAGTGATAAGAGCTGAAAGAGTGATTTGTCTAAAGCACCACTGTGAAGATATGATATTTAAATAGTGTAGATATTGATGATATAACATTGAGATAGTGTAGGTATTATTGGTACAATCAGTATGTAATGGGATACATAAAGTAGATAGTGTGGATAAGATATCCGTATTGTTTCGTGTGACCTATAAATATATAAATTACTGGTATGCACTAGATATATTATCTAGTTTTTGGATATCCGTATTGTTCATGATATTGTGGATATTGATGATGATAGCAGTAGGTAATTGTCATTATGGGATTACTATGGTTGTCTTTATACATTGGACATACTGTCAATATGTTCACAATATTGTTCATATTAAGTTCTCCTCTTTCTACATCAAGGCTCTTCGGCACCTTAATTGGATATCTGTTAGTTTCAGCAACTACATAAACAAAGGCTCATGATTCTAGAAAACACAAATAATGAAAATAATTGCCGAGATGCTTCAGTTTTGGCTCCATGCTCCAACAAACCAAAATAAAAACTATACTCATATTGACTCAAGGCTTGATGCTTCAGTTTGGTTCCTAAATAATAAACATACATGCCTAGCTTCCATTTTCGGGGACAACTTGATAAGGCTTCAGAGCAAGGGGACATCATTAGATATGAAATGGTATGCAAAAGATTTGGCCCACATCTTCTTCACCACCTTTAAAACAAATATTAGATCTAAGTTTTTGGATAGGTACCTGATATTTGGTCTGATGTTCATTGATGTGAGTGAGAGAGAGAAAGATGTTGATTGTGGAGGTTAGTGTGATATGTTGAGGGGTATCCAGTCATTTCATATCCAAAATCTTTCTATAATAGCAACGATCTTCTATCCTTTTATTTTAGCACCGACTGTTTGAATTTGTTTTAAAACAGCCAGTTTCCCATTATATTATCATGCATATTAGAGCCTAAAAGTGCACAAATGTGTGATAAAACTCATGGAGATTATATAAGTATGTGGTTTGATAGTTGGGAATTCTATCCTTATCTTTCATTTTTCTGAATGCATATATATAAAACCCTAAACCCTACTTTTCTTTTATTCGAATTGATACAGATATCAATCCCCTCTTCCGATTGACCAAGTGAAACAATTGAATAATTTTGAGGATGATGGAGGTGATATGATATGTCTTTGTTCATGTGTATGAAGTTACTTCTATACTATAACCATGTCAATTTATATTGATTTAATTATGTGCAAACCAGACGGTTCGCCTGGATTCCGAGCCAGGGGTCGTGGTGGCCGAAGAAGAGGTAGGGGTAGAGGTATTGCTTTCTGCTCTAAAATTATGTATGCATTTTGTTTACGGTGTCATTATAAGTTCTTAAAATGGAGTTAAAATTTTTCTTTTCAAAAAATATCAAACACCATTATACCAGTACCCATGATAATTGACTGAGATTTTCGTTACAAGTGATTTAAATTGCTTATCAGGTTTTTCTCTGGTTCATGTTACTATGTGTGCAGGAAACTACAATGGATTTGGGGATTATAATGGAGATGGTTGGGATGGTGGGCGTGGTTATGGTGGCAGAGGTAGAGGCCGTGCAAGAGGTGGTTCTTTTAGGGGTCGTGGACAAGGTTATGGTCAGTTAGGTGGATACTATGATTATGTTGAAGGTGCACCTACCCAAGGCCATGGTATGTTTTTCTATTATCTATACCATTATATTCAATTTATTTCCTTTAAGGCTTTTTAGCCAAAATAGTCCCTGAAATTTGCATAACTCCTCATTTTGTTTCCTGAGATTTGATATCAATAAAAGTGGTTGCTGATATGTCTACCAGCAATCATTTTGGTCATTCCGTTAAATAAGGACCAAAATGACAAAAATACCTTCTATTTAATAAACAATTGATGACATTTTTGTCATTTTATCCTTATTTATTGTAAACTTTTCATGTAAGGACCAAAATCATTGATGGTGGACAAACTTAGAGATCACTTCTATTGATTTCAGATCTCAGCTACCAAAGTGAGGGTAATGCCAATTTCAGGGACCATTTTGGCTAAAAAGCCATTAATCGTACTCCAATTACACTTAGTTCTTTGAACGTATATATGTTAGCCGCTTTATGTTTGTCTTGTTCTTTGAACGTATATATGTTAGCAGTTTTATGTTTTGTCTGCATGTCACTAATAATGTAGTTTATCAGCACAAGATTCATATGGTTTTAGAACTAGATTTTTCTTTGAACCTGGTTGTAAAGACATTATGTACGATCTGTTAAATTCATTTCTTAGTTTTTTTATTTTGTTTTAATTTTTATGTTTTGGGTCTAATATATCCTTGACCAGTGTGCTTTTTATTATAAGCTAATATTGATGGTTTTGGCATAATGCATTTAGCACTATACTTGGTGCTGAGCAACAAGTCCTTGAAAAGGGTTTCTCCATAGCATAAAGTATAGCACGGTCAACCATTTAGATTTTAGTTTTCAATTTTTGCTTTTTGGTCAGAAATAAGTAGGAAATAAGAGGAAGAAAGGAGGGGATGAATAAGGCTAGAGGAAGGTGGTGGGAAGGAAATGAGGAAATGCACATGGAATGGTACAAAACATGAAACCAAAAACTGAAAAGCAATTTCTTATTAATCGATTTTTATTTTGTATGTCGCTTCATGTGCATTTCTTCCCCCTTCCTCCTACCATACTCCCTGCATTCTTCGTCATCTACTCTTCCATCTACTTTCTCTCTATATCTAATGAAAAAAAACTGAACTAAAAACCAAATGGTTATCAAACAGGCTTTTAGAAAGTGAAAACTTTTGCGTTGCCAAACAATCAATTATTTCCTAAGTATTGTGTGCTTCGCATCATTGGAATGTTGGAATGTTTGTTAAGTTCCATAAGTAATCTGATAAAGATGCCATTTGAAGGTCTGGTAGGGCGTGGTCGAGGCAGAGGAAGGGCCCGTGGGCGTGGTCATAATACCAGATTGGATGGACAAGCACCTGCTGCTTGAGCAGATGTTTGGTTAAGTGCAAATGTGTGTGGACTTGAAAAAGTTGACATATGGGATGCCTACTCTGCTTGCTTATCTCTTGGTGAAGTTTGCTTATATCTATGGGCACCGGCTTTCTTTCGAGTTTTCTCAATTGTTGTGATGCTTGAAATTTTGTTTTGTAGGTCGTGAGGTAGGAGTACTTCAGTAGTTATTGCTACTAATTAAGTGTATTTATACACCACCTTACAAAAGTTGTAAAATGATTTTTTTCTTTCTTTCATAGAAATAATAGAGCACTGCATTCTTTTATTCTTTACATGAATTTTCCATGCTAACTGTAACAGAACATCATTCAGTCTCCCCTCCTTTCATTCAAATACTTGCAAAGTTTTAACAAGTTATTAATTTTGTCCTGGGTAAATTGCAAAAACATACCTCAACTACTAGTCGAACTACAATGTCATACCTTATCTTAAAACATTGCAATGTCATACGTGGAGTTCCATGGTGTACCGCCATGTACCTTTCTTGCCAAAATTTGGCCATGTCATTTTAAAAATATTATAAAATTTAAATTTGAAATTTTGTTTAAAAGGTTTCAAATTTTGAATCTTAAAGTTTTCCTGCCTAAATTAGTCCACGTCATATAAAAATATTTTAAAATTTAAAAAAAAATTGTGACATTTTCCATTTGTGAATCCTACATATTCTAGCCAAAAAGTTGAAACCTTCAATATTGAAAGGTAATACAACTCAAACATGTAAAGTTCCACATAAACACATGATGAGCACAAAATTTTAACACAATTTTCACATCGAAAATAACAACTAAAAGCATTTGCAAAGTCCAAAATGATTATACTCACCCAAATCTGCATTAAGCATTGTTAGGGATCCAAAAATTCGCAGTGCACTAGTTCAAAGATAACCCAAAAACCCCACATAATCCATCTACCATCCATAACCCAAAATACAATTAGTGCAAATCAGTACATTTCCAACCACCCAAATTAGTTCAAAAAACCTAACTAAATCCAACATCTTTGTCCTCTTACTTGTGCAGATGTGGATGCCTAGAAGAAAGTACAAAATTAATAAAGGATTAAAAGATTAAAAGATTAAAGGATTTAGAAAGGATCAAAATTTTACCTGTTTGTCCATTGGAGGAAGATGTCTATGATGGGTCCTTGCATTATGACTTTCTTTTTTGCATATAGTGCACTACAAACAACCTTGCCTTTTCCTTCCTAGCTTAAGTGGGTGAGGAGAACCTTCAGGATTAGTTGGTGGGTTTGTAGGAGTCTGTTGACCATCTTTGTCCAATTTAGCAGCTTCTTTGTTTCTCTTCTTCCTTGGTTTTCTAGATTGCCTTGTATACAATGGAGGCAATATTGGTGTGTTATCAGTTTTCTCCCACAAACATTCCATTCATCAGCATTATCAAATGGGAATAAACCTCCAAATACCTTGCCCTTGAATCCACATAATCCTCAGGTTTTTCCCTCTTGAAATTGATGGCAACTATTGCATGGTTGCAAGGAATTCCCGTCAAGCCATATTTCCTACAAGAGCAACTCCTCTAAACCAAAGTCAACCAAATCCCCCCCCCCATCCAACATCTGAAGGAAGATTTGTGAAAAACATGTTCATTTAAGCAACATCAATAGCATGCAATTAACAATTAAAGGCGGAATCATGCTTGTATGCACTTAAAAACAAAACATTTACCCATGAAATTCAAAGCCTAGTAGATAGGTGAACCAAGACTCAACTCAAAACAAAGTGAGTTGAGAAATCAATACCTTTGTAGATTCCTCTTTGCATAAGCAAAGGCTAATCACCCAAAGAGAGGGCCTTCATTCCTTGCATCTTAGATCCATGGATTTGGATGGATGAAAAGGTTTCTCCAAGTTCCCAAAATTGAGAACCTCTAAGTCTCCACACCAAGGTAAGATTGAAGAAGAAATGAGTGACCTTGAGGAAGTAAGATTGCTAGATGTTTTCCTCAAGGGTGGCCGAAATTTTAGAGAGAAAAGAGAGCTTGTGTTCTCATCCTTTCCCCCAAAAAACCCTAAGGATGAAATGGCTATAAAGATGTCTTTATACCACCTCACAATGGAGTGGCAAACTTGCAGTTAAGCCAAGTTCACTACCCTCCTCTAAATGGCCGGCCATATGGGATTTATTGGGCTATTTGGGCCTTTGTGAATCATTATTCATTAAGTTGTCATACAACTTAAGTCAATGGACTTGACGTTCGAAGCCCATTGGGCCTTAAGGTCCAAAACTATCCCGAGGTCTTCAACGAACTTATTCGTTTGATTAATAATCATATTAATTAATCCTTGCCATAAATAATTAAACCATTTAATTATTCTTACTCATCTCCGTTGAATCTTCAATCTCTACCTTACACGGTGTACGATCCATTAGGTTCCTTTTAGCGAGGCAGTGGGCGATTCAAACTCTTTCAAATCGATTGTGAATTGAAACTTTCTTTCAATTCTCCCGTTAGTGATAATACACTTTTAGGGCTTCCACAAACCATGGTTGACGCCTAGCAGCATGTCATGGTTACCCAAGCTAATCAGAAGAGGTGGAGAACCTATTCAGTTTTAGGATTACAAATGCAATACGGTCTTTCTCTAATACAATACTCTTGACCACATTGTTTGGTTTGATAGTTTATTCATGTCTACTATCCAATGTGAGTCTTGTGCTTATATGATTACCTTGAATGTGATTTGGAACACATTCCTAAATCTCATTCATACTTTGGCCAAAGATTCTTAATCATATCATAGAGTATTCTCCCTCAAACAGTTTGAAGGTTAGAGATCCCTTGTTGCGCATTCACTTGCCTCCATGGCTAAGTGGCTTAACCCCAACGATGCCATGGACACCCTCCTGATGGAGTGACTTTGACATAATCAAAGATTAAGGACCTAACCACAAGACAACTGTGATGCCTCAGGTCAAAAGACTAATTTGCATTATCCCAACCATGAGTTCTCATGTGACATGAATATGAGAACTCTTCGTTGATCGTGTTCAGTGAACTCATTCTCTATTGAGCACCTACGTACTTGTCTTGATGTCACACACACCAATGACTCGAGACTAGTCACTCTCCCTGAGAGAAGACATAGCACGTACTGATCTTAACGGACTGTCAATGCCCAATTGACAATCCTATGATCAGGAACGTTTAGGATGTGTCAACGAAAGAATGGTCTCATGAATCTAACTTCTTTAGATCGCATTCTTCCAATCACATATTCCTTGGACTTATCGTTTAAGCATATAACATTTATATGAGACGGCTCAAACAATAATCTTTGCCCTTTACATTTAAACTACATTAGTTTGAAATGTCCGTAAAGTATCATCATATGATTGGTTTTAGGGCACATTTCCAACAATCTCCCACTTGTACTAGAGCCAATCAGCTTAGTCATCATTGATGATACCTCTTCTGTAATTCATTTCATAAATGGCTGAGTAGTAGGCCTAAACAATGGATATCTATATGTTATCCATAGAAGCAACCTTGAGAATAATGACGTCACCATTATACATGATTCTCAATCATGTGGTTCAGTCTCTCATTTAAGTTCGGACCTTGATGAGACCTTGATTCCCTGGCTTGAGCTATCGCCCCATTAGTGTCATACACTTTCTGGTTGGAACCGAATGGAGAGTTCATGAATGAACTTTCCCATCCAAACAACAATGTTGTAGGCTTCTATATGGCAATATATTTTGCATACATGATGGAATACATTAAAGTCATTTACTTTTAACGTTTCCACCCAAATATCTTTTTAGTTTAATAAAGAGATATCTCATTATCGCTTCATTCATAATGAAGAGATATTCTATGATGGATTAGATTCATAATCTAATACATTTACGCTTCCATTACGTTACTCTAATTCTTCCTCATTCTTGAGGAATCCATCCTTAGTATTTCTTAAATACCTAAGGATTCACTTGACAGTTGCCATGGTTCTGATCCTGGGCTTGCACTGATATCATCTTGTACCGTTCTAGGTACAACTTATATCAATGTTTTCATACAATATGAAATACATAAATCACCTTTCTGCGTATGCATAAAGGATTCTATTTACGCATTATTTCTTTGGGAGTCAAAGGGTACATTCCCTTTGAGAAGAACAACTTCCTAGTCTCACTAGAATTGTCATTCTAATTGAAGTTTATCATCATCTGAGAAACTTCCTAGCATCTCTTGTCTATTTTAGGGATTGATATAATCCAATTATATCTTGAAATCTATCATTATAGATTTCCATCCCATGTATATAGACTATGTCTCCCATATACATTCTATCATTATAGAATGTTTAAAGTCATAACTTTAACGATGAAGAATTCCTTTCATTTTCAAAATTAATATATATCATGTATATATATTCAAATTTAGGAATATGATCAACTCCCACTAATCTTTTGTAAACCTAGTAAACAAAAGATTTATTTACATCTTTATGAGAAATCAAACAATTGATCTTTTCTCATAAGACGCTTATAGCTCCCACTAGCTTGCTAAGATCCATGATGGATGGATCTCTACAACTAACGTGTCTTAGAAGTATATATCATATATATATGGGTAATTGATAATGTCCTACGAACTAAATCTTATTTATGTTCATTCTTCTCCTAATGGAGAAATTCATTATCTTACGATGCTACTTTCCTTGATATTTTTCAAGGAAATTAATCTAAAGTGTTACTTTTTCCTTGGATCAAATCTAAGGAGGTAAATACTTTAGACGTCTTACTCATCTACTTACATTTCTTGAATTCTTTGAAACCTTTTGCAAAGTATTCGGACTTGTGTTTATTCAAAATAAACTATAGTCCAACCGAGAGTGATCTTCGGTGAATGTCATA